ATATTGTTAATGTCTACATGACATCTTAATCACCGTTTGCTAAGCGTCAGAGGTTCTTCGGCCAATAATATATCGGTAAAGATAGGAAAATTAAAATTTTAAACTAAATTTGCAAACTAAATGACGTGTCATCAATAGGTAATAAGCACGTTAATCGATACTTGATTAATAATTCAACCATCAACTATCACATCATTTAATTAACACAATTTAGTTTAAAATTTTGATCGGCATAGCATTACTTTATTTTTTTTCCCTACCTAGCATCTCCACATGCACCTGCTGAATACATTGAAGTCAACCTCATCCATTATTCATTGGTCAAAGCTTCGTGCATCAACAAAAGAAGCGAATCGTGGTAAGCAAATATATGTAAATTTGGACAAAGGTTAAACTGATAACGATGTATCAAATATTTGGATGATGTTTATATACAATGTTCTAAGTGGGTGGCTGAATCATGAGACCATGGTGTTTGGTGCGCAACAAGATGATGGATAATGAATGATGTCAGATTTTGGAATTAAGTTTGGCATTGTAAGTGGGGGGCAATTGCCCCCTATGTGTTTTACAAATTTATTTTCTTATGAATATTAAATTTGGCAAATGGTTTGTAGTTTAGTTGGTTAAGAGCACTCGTCTTTGCATTCAAAGTTCGGTGTTCGAATCTCCCTCCCTATAATTTACATAAATTTAGTGTAGAATATTTCATCTTTCATTGAAAGTGATCATATATAACATTGCTACCGATTTCATGTGAATTGGAAAACCCAAACCTAAATTTGACATCATGGTTTGAGATCAAAACACTAAAAGCACATTTTATTCATTGTCGCTCTTGATATTAAATTTAATAGTAAGTGATCACGCATTTCATGGTAAACTGGTAATTAGGTGCACATTTAGGATCAATTTATGAAGTCATTTTGTAAATTCATGCATCATCTAATAAAAATTAGGACTAACATAAAAAATAAAAAATAAAAAAAAAAGTTAGGACTATCACGCATGCACCCTAGCTTGTTATACCATTTACAAATAAAGGTGATACAAATTTGAAACCAAAAAGACAATGAAATATGACCATCCTATTCCAATTCATTTTTCCCTTATTAGTAAACAAGGGAGTTGGTGATGAACAATCCATATACCTAAGTTTGTGCAGCTAGTCAAACATTTGAATCCTAACAATAATTTGTCAACCTAAATTACTTTGTTATATTCGTTGTTATTAGATACCTACCACAATTTTTGGTTGAGAAATGGTAAAGATAATCACTTGAAAGTGGGATTCTCCATAGATTCTCTGTCACCTAATGTTTTTGGCACAATATTTTATAGGCCTAATTAGGTTATAAGTCCCCGTGGTGATAGGATAGTCGGAAGCGCCCATATGATACAAACAAATTAGGATTTAAGCTCTTGTGATGAAGTCTGTTAAGATTTAGACCCAAAATTAAAAATTTCATCAACTCTCCGTTAATTATTAACATCGAAGCGCCCATACATAGGAGGCTAAAACAACACTCTTTGTAAATTGTTAGCACGTGAGGTTAATTTTATATTTTTAACCTCACATGTGAGTTTCATGTGCTAACAATTAACGGAGACTTGACAAATTTTTCAATTTCGGGTTTAAATCCTAACAGACTTCACTACAGGGACTTAAATCCTAATTTTTGACAAGGACTATTTTCCGACTACCATATCACCACAGAGACTATAATCCAATAAAGTCATGTTTTATAATGTTAGCACGATAATTAATGTTAAACTATAAGGTGTCAGAAAGTTAGTTAAGAGTTACATTTTAAAAGTCTCCTTAACATTTCTCTTTTTAGTAAGTCTACAATGTCCTTACGAGACTACATTTTATGAAAGTTGTCATAAATGCCAAAACTTTTAATTCTTCTAACAACATGACACGACATGATAAGAGCAGATTAATACACCAACTAGCCTTTTAAATTAGTTGTATTTCAGGTTGAGGATGTTTCTCGTTATTTGATTAATGAAATACCAAAATTTTTTACAAGAAAAACATTAACGTATAAAATAATAAAAATTATTGTAAAACCGTTCGATTGTAAACATGCACAACACATGTAGATAAATATGTTGTGTAATATCTTCATACATATCATTGGATAACCTTTAATCCGAGAACCATTGAGGGGTTAGTTGATAGATAATCGTTAATTAGAATTACATATTTAGACATAATTATATACTAATGATTCGAATTGACAATCACTATTTGTTCCTTTTTTTCTATATATAAAATACAATTTTTTATACCAAAAAAACATTAACTTTTGTACAAAATTAATAAAAGTTTTGGTAAAAACGTTTTCTATTGTAAACCAAAACGTTTTCTATTGTAAACATACACAACACCTGTAGATGATGCTTTATCGCAATGACGAAAAGAAATATTGCATATACACTCTGGTGCAGGTTCAATCTTTATTGGTTTCCTCCCCCTTAACATTTAACAGTTTAATCCACTAACGCTATTATTTATTAAAAAATGCATAACACATGGACTATTTCTAATTTCCTAAACTATCATGTATCGTATTTTTCTTGTACGCTTTGGTTGAAAGTCTGTTTTCCTTAAAAACATTAAATAAAATTCAGTGCGTATTTGCTTACTCTTTTCTTTTGAGAGGAAAATAAAATAAAATTAAAAAAAAAACCAAACTATGGTTCACAAATGGGGAGTGAATATTTGACCAATACAAAAAGGTATCTTGTCCAAGAAGAAAGGCAGCCAGAAACGACGCAGTTTTGACTTTTGTGGGCGTTTCTATTTCCGGATCCTTTTTTCTGGGATCCTATGGATTTCGTGATCATGACTGTTTATCGTATATCATGCAATCAGTTTTCGTTAGGTATTGTTTATATTTAATTTTAAAATTTTAAAATTTTAAAATAATTTTTGATTGTACGATGATGAACGATCACGATCACGAGATCTCTAGAATCCTTAGGAAAAGGATTTGGCGAAAGGATCCTGCCAGATCATTTTTCTAAGGATCCCAAGGATCTTGTAATCAAATTTATTTATCGTATATCCTATAGTTAATTTTTAAAATAATTTCTAATTGTACGATATATATGAATGGACATTATTACAAAATTCTCATAATCCTTAGACCTAGTTTGGGAGGGAGGTGCTTAAAAAAAAAACACCTATGAAAAAAAGCTGTGAGGGTTTTAGGTGTTTGGTAAACTGAAAAAAAAGGGCTTATTTTGGAAGCTGCTGTGAGAATAAGCTGAAATAAAAGGAAAAAGCTGAAGCTGCTATTTGTAGCTTTGGAAAACTGGCTTTTTTTCAAAGCACACGGAGCTACAGTGCTCCTTTAATGAAAAGACCCACTATCAGACTACTTTTTTTTCCAAAAGCTTTTTTACAAAAAAGTTTACCAAACGCTCTGCTGATTTATTTTACAGCCGCTTATTCTCACAGCACAGCCGCTTATTCTCACAGCAGTTTTTTTTCAAAGCACAGCAATACCAAACCAGCCCTTAGTAAAAGGATCCGCTTTTTCCTCTATTTCGGACCGCGAAAAAGCGCCCACCGGATCAAAACGTCCATTTCATCCTTGTCTTTTGCAAGCGAAAATCGAGAAACTTCGCACTCATTTCTATCGTAACACCCTAAATAAACGGCACCGCAAAATCCTAATTAATTAAACTAATCAAATATTTAATTACAAATCCTAACAAACCTCCCGGCGCACGCCACGTGGTACGTCCATACGTACAGGCTGGACCACACTACCTGCTTTCTGATCCAACAGAAGCTAACAAAAAGTTAATACGAACTCGAAGCTTACTTAATCCGTAATCAAAATTAAATTAAATTAATTAGTTTTAGTTGCTCAATAAATAATTAAAAAAAGCTAACGCGTCGTCGTTTTCCTTTTTATCGCTTTGTCTGTGGATTTCTACCCACCCTCTCTTCTTCTTCCCAATTGCCGGAGACAAATCCCAACTCCCGGAAATTCAAATTTAAAAATCCGAAAGAAGAAAACGATTTTTTTTTTTTGCTTTTAAAATCTTGAGAGTTTTGTAAAGTGTCTGGGGTTTTGAAAATTTTGATCCGGGAATCCGATACCCAAACGCGATGCTCTGACCTCCGGAATCGGGAGTTGAAATCCCCCGACACGGTCTGTTTGGGGAGGAATCGCCGATTACCAAATGGGTCTCTGCACCTCCAAACCCTCCCCAAACTCTCGTACTTACTCGCCGCAATCCGGTTCCCCAATAACCAAGGAGAGCTCCGTTCCGCTGCCGAACGCCGCCGGAAATGGGGAAGACCCTAGAGGTGAGAAGGCTGAGGAGGAGAACGTCAAGAAGTCTCCGTTTTTCCCGTTCTATAGCCCCAGCCCGGCGCACTACTTCTTCTCCAAGAAGTCTCCGGCGAGATCTCCGGCGAATGTGAGCTCGAACTCGACGCCGAAGCGGTTCTTCAAGCGGCCGTTCCCGCCGCCGTCCCCGGCGAAGCATATAAGGGCGGTTTTGGCGAGGAGGCACGGGTCTGTGAAGCCGAACCAGGCTGCGATACCGGAGGGCGGCGAGGTGGAGGGCCCCACTGGCTTGGAAGAGCTTCGGGTTTTCCAAGCATATTGGGAACAAGTATGAGATGGGAGAAGAGGTTGGGCGTGGGCATTTTGGGTACACTTGCAAAGCTACGTTCAAGAAGGGTGAGCTCAAGGGCCAGCAGGCCGCCGTCAAAGTCATCCCCAAAGCCAAGGTTTGCAATTTCTTAGTTTGAATGGATTGACTGACCAATTTAGCTGGAATTTTAGTGGGTTGTATGGGTTTTGATGATGAGTGACCTCTGTGATTGATATGAGTCCTTCATGCTTCTCGAGTTTTCGATTACATCGTTTGAATTGGATCTGCAAAGGAAAGAAAAAAGCGATTCGGATGCGTAATTTTATACTCTCTATACAATAGAGATGCATATTGATTTGCAAGAATAGTTTTTGGTGGATGAGTAGGTTGAAATTTAGTCCTGATAATGTTGTCCACGGTCTGACTATGAATTGGTGAAATGATTTAGTTTGTCTCTAGATTTACTAGTTTTACCTTCATCGGGAAGCAACTTCTGTTGTTTTGGCAGTTGGTTTTGTTCTAGTACCTTTCTATACTTTGTTTTCTGGATTTGTATATTTGGATTGTATTACTCGTCGTATTTTCTGATTCTGTTTTATGCTTTTGTTGGTAGATGACTACTGCCATTGCAATTGAGGATGTGAGAAGGGAAGTGAAGATATTGAGAGCTTTAAGTGGACATGACAATCTAGTGAAATTTTATGATGCGTATGAAGACCAGGAAAAGGTCTACATTGTAATGGAGTAAGTCCTGATCGCTGCATGTTCTTCTGTTTACTTAACCTTCTTTCTTACGGATTCTGTTGTTCAATTGTCTGTGCTTTCCAGATTATGTGAAGGAGGGGAGCTCTTGGATAGGATACTTGCCAGGTACTTCTTTTGGTGCCTGTTAGAGTTCAGGGCGAGTATCTTGAATGTGTTATGTTTTCGTTGTTCTTGATGAACTGGGAAGTGGTTTGATAGCAACTTGTATATTCCTATTCCTTTTGCAGGGGCGGGAAATACACAGAAGATGATGCAAGGACTGTTATGACACAGATATTAAATGTGGTTGCGTTTTGCCACCTCCAAGGCGTGGTGCATCGGGATCTTAAACCTGAGGTAGGATATATGTTTTCGTCTGGATTGAATTAAACTTGATGCGATACACTAAAAGTCACTAATATGTGGTAGATGTTTACATTTTTTAAAAGGGAGAATATATCATTGCATGCAATTGCCTCCCTTTTGTTTCTTTTATCTCCTTTGTTGTCTAGTAAGAAGAATAACTGCATTTTCTTCTCTTCCAGCCTTTGGGTGCTGTAGCTTTGCTTTCTTTTCATTTTTGTATACTTATCTAAGCACTTAATTTCTGGATCAGAATTTTCTGTTTACGTCAAAGGATGAAGATTCACAGTTGAAGGCTATAGACTTTGGATTGTCAGATTTTGTCAAACCAGGTTGGTTGACAGTTCTTCAGTACATAGTCTGTACTATAATACTTGCTTTTGTAATAGTTCTAAAACTTTGGCCAATAGTTTCATATGGTTGAATTGTCCTTGCAGATGAGAGGCTTAATGATATTGTTGGTAGTGCGTACTATGTAGCCCCCGAAGTTCTACATAGGTCTTATGCTACAGAGGCCGATGTCTGGAGTGTAGGCGTGATTGCATACATTCTTTTGTGTGGCAGCCGTCCATTTTGGGCTCGAACTGAGTCTGGCATTTTTCGGGTTGTGCTAAAAGCTGATCCAAGTTTTGACGAACCACCTTGGCCATCTCTGTCCACAGAAGCAAGAGATTTTGTCAAGCGACTATTGAATAAAGACCCACGGAAAAGAATGACTGCTGCTCAAGCCCTCTGTGAGTGCCTTATTCACTCTAAAAATTGTGAGGTCATGGTTCTATTATCAAATTTCCACTCACTACTTTCTATTGCAGGTCATCCATGGCTTAAAAATTCTAATGATATTAAAGTGCCTCTGGATATATTAATTTTCAAACTCATGAAGGTCTATATGCGTTCATCACCTCTCCGAAAAGCTGCTTTAAGGGTGTGTATATGATCCATTTTCAGTTGAAACTATATACTTATATGTTTGTGGTGACTAGTAGAGGGTATTATTCCTTCAAATTCTGTCTTGCCGCCCTTTTCTGTGCATCAGTTTGCTTGTTTGTTTTGTGTTTAGTAATTTCTAGTAGCTTATTTGGTTCTCTCAACATTGGCATTTTGGCAGGCTCTTTCCAAGACATTGACTGTGGACGAGCTTTCTTATTTGAAGGAGCAGTTTGCGTTGTTGGAACCTAACAAAAATGGCACAATAAGCTTAGAAAATATTAAAACGGTGTGTTTCCTTCAAAATTTATTTACCTTTTAAACTCGATCTACGGTTAGCCATGTTTCTGAACTTTTTAATGTTATCAGGCATTGATGAAAAATGCAACTGATGCAATGAAGGAGGCGCGAATTGCTGATTTTCTAGCATCGGTATGTGCCTTGACTCTTGCAATGGGTGTGGAAGGTTATTTTATTTGGTATGTTATTAATTCTTATTAGAACGTTATTTTTCATCCCTTTGGCAGCTTAATGCATTGCAATACAGAAGGATGGATTTTGAGGAATTTTGTACAGCTGCACTGAGTGTGCACCAACTTGAGGCTGTTGATCAATGGGAGCAACATGCTCGTTATGCCTATGAAATTTTTGAGAAGGATGGCAACAGGGCTATTATGATTGAGGAACTGGCTTCGGTATGTGTGGATGCATGATAATTGTGCCTTCCTTTCATCTTTAGTTGACTGATTGCTCCTACCATCCAATTGCTTTCTGTATCCACTAATTCACTTCTCCCCTTCCTCGTAGTAGTTATGCACTTGGAAAGAGCATTAAATTCTTCGTAGTAGTATAAAATTTTCTGTCCACTGATATGCGGCATTATGTGAACGTATTCCAGGAACTTGGCCTCAGCCCTTCCGTCCCAGTTCATGCCGTTCTTCATGATTGGATTAGGCACACTGATGGAAAGCTAAGTTTCCTTGGATTTGTCAAATTGTTGCATGGAGTATCTAGCCGGGCTGTGCCAAAAGCTCAATAAAAGTTTTGATAAGATCCACGGAGTGTAGATTTGCCCATGTGGTCCTGACTCGTGACCGATAAAACCGTGGTCTTGGAAGTGATTAAGTTTCCTGAATGCAAATACTCTATATTTTCACAGCAGCTGCAATTTATAACCGAGCGAATCATCATTTGATGAAGCTTCGGCATTGTGTGTACACTTGGGACCGGAGAGATATGACCCCTCTGCATGCGCGAGATGAAGCTATCAGTCGTGTTTTTTCCACTGTAAATTTGTAGTATTAGTTTAGTGCGTTTAGTTGCAGATTAGAGTAGTTCTCTACTTGTTTCTAAACGATCACACTTCCATGTTTCTGACATTAGAGGGGTGGGACATGCCCACAATTGGGTTGTACCATCCCTCCTATCGTAATACTACTATTTGATCAGCATCATATCTTTGTGTAACTTGCCTATTTCTTTCTCCTAGCCAAAATTTGACACAACGGCTCGTTTGAAACTGCTTCTTCAAAAAAGTATTTATGTTTGAAATGACAAAAGCACTTTTAGTAAAAGTGTTTTTATTAGAAGCAGATTGAAAATTTTAATAAGCATTCAAGTGCTTCCCATATAGCATTTGAAGTGCTTCCTTCAAAAAGCACTTTCTAATTTTTTTTTTTTGTCAAACATGATTAGAAGAGTTTGGTGATTTGGAAGCGTTTTAAATCATTCTAATAGCACTTTCAAACAAGACTAACATCAATAAGATGGACTAAGTGGTGACAATCAGCTATGCATGTGCGGGTGATGGTCAATTTCTAATGTGTTGTAGTGCAAGATTCATGTTGCATGCATCAACGGCTGTTAACCAATTATATAGATAGTTATACTTAGCATTTCTCTAATATAAACATACTCGATTATGATTTAGCTCTGGATCACCAAAGTTCCAACCATAAACAACTCGAAGAAGGCACAGAGAGCTTCCAATTTTCAACTTTCTTTTTTTTTTTTTTTTTTTTTGGTGAAACCCACTTTTAACTTTCTTAAAAGAACAAAAAGAAAAAGAAATATTTGACTAGAAAAGTGCTTGTGCTTAAGGAGCTTCCCGCTAAAATTCAGAGTATTGGGCTGCAAGGCCCACAACCCGTTGAGCGGCTTAAGTTAAAAGTAACGGTATTTGTGGTTACTGTAGCAAGGCGCTTCCTATGGGCCCCCAGCAGTTATTATTAAATTTCCCATTTTATCCCTCCCTAAAAATAAAGATAAATAAATAAATAAATTGGTATCTGAATTTCTGAAACGGTGTTTGAAATATTTGTTAGTTTTTGAGTTGAATGGAAATGGCAGGGAGGGAAGGTAAGCGCGCTTTTATTTGTATCTCTTCGTCTTCCGAAGAAGAAGACGACGACGGAAAGGAAGACGGCGACTTTGGAGAAGAAGAAGATGACGACGATGAAGGCGGTGACGGTGACGACGGCGATTATGATGATGAGGACGACGATGAAGACGGTGACGGTGATGACGGCGATTATGATGATGAGGACGACGACGACGACGACGACGACGGCGATGAGAAAATTGAGGAGGGCGATGACGAGGCTCTCTGCAACAGCGTAATCCGCTCTCTCCAAGGTTCGTTTTTCGTTGAGAAATTTTTCGAATTTTCTATTTCCACAAGCGTTTCTCTGTCTCGATGCTTTTTTTCAGCTGCCGATGTTCGAAATGTTTGATTTTGATTTCATAAATTGAGTATCTGAGTTTAGTTTGTTTGATTGAATGTTGATTAAGAACCCTAAACCCTGATTAACGCATTGCGTGTGATAAATTTGGTTTGAATTATTGTGTTTGGCAGAAGGGATTGATTTGGTTTCTTTAAATCTCAAAGAGTGCAAGGCGTATTTGCGGAGGCACGGCCTCAGAATCTCCGGAACCAAAGCGGTTTGTATTCAGAGAATTGAAGAGCATTGGAGGTGAGTTCTTTCGAGTTTCGAGTCATTATTCAACTCTTTGTTACTTTCATGGCATGTTTGCTAATCTGTAATCGGAAGTTATTTTGCTAAACGATCGGGAATTGGAGTAGGAATGGTACTGATTCCATATTGATTTTGTTATTGAATGATTGCTTCTTATCATTTTAGGTTGAAGGATGGAAATGGGGAAGCACTGTATCCGAGATCATCCTTCGTAATTAATTGTACAGGTTAATATGTTTCTTTACTTTCGTAATTTGTATCATTAGTCCTCCATCTATGCACCATTTTTTGCTGAAATTTTGCAGTTCATTGCAGGTGATGTCTGTAAGGGAGATGTTGTGCTCTTCACCCAGAAAGTTTATGAGAAGTATCCACTTATTCCGGTTCTTTTAATCTCATAGTTTTGTCATGTGATGCTCGTTCTTCAATTATTTTGGTAGTGTAATTCAAGCATTTGATTTCAAACAGGTTTGACAAAGTGACAAGGCATGGAAGGGTTCTAGGGAAGAGAACTGTTGCTGGCAGGGTTGTTAAAGAAAGCTATGGTGCAGCCAAACAGCAACATACTTTTACGGTGAGGCTTGAGGCTGAAGGTTGTCTTCTGGCTGTAAATTTAAGTTTATTTTGGGTATACATGTTGGAAGTTGGCAATATTCTAGGTTCATATATAAAAGTTAAGAGAGTAGGGTCAATAAGAAATGAAGATTTGCGTTTAAGTAACCTGTTGTTTTGTATCGTAGACTCGTAGTGTACTGTGTAGTTGTTTGTGACTCTTTTAACCAACCACTGTTCCTGATGTGCAAGGTTGAAGTGATATGGAGCAGGGGAATAAAGAAGCTGTGTCCACTATTTCCTTTGCTTGTGAAGGGTCGTAATCTCTACAAATTGAGAACATTTAGACAGGTAGCTGTGAATATTGTGTCTTTTATTTATTCTTTTAGCATTAAAGTATTAAGGTATTGGTTGCTTGCATGTTTTCTTGACCACCGTTTAGCGTTGGAGTAATGAAGCTGAAAGATCAAAAGTGCTTGCTGAGAAGCACCGACGAGGTGAAGCAGCAAGGCATGTTAGAGCGATTAAAAAATCAAGGAAATGGACTGAAAATGGAGGTATTAGGAAGAAAATGAGGAAGTTTACTTGCATGTTACTTCTTTTACATCATCAATCTTTCTCCTGCTCCAGCTGTGAACGATTGTTTATGTATTTCTTTGTTTTAGATGGGGGTTTTTATGTCATGATTATGTCTTATATGATCAGGTGGGAAGCGTCGGAAACAATCGCATTCTACCAGACCAAATCAAATTAGAAAGAATAATGAATCAGAAAAGGGGAAGCATTTTGATAGACTCCAAAGACGGACATCCCGTGGATCTACAAAGCATAATAGTTTCTCTCAACATCAAGCAGCCCTACCATCAAAACAGATGAGGAGTAAAGCCTCTCAACCTTTTAGGAGGCATCAGAAATCAGCACGCCCAAATATTGATAGAGTCCCCGCTCTTCATTCTCAGTCTGTCCCTCGCATTCCTCACCAATCTCAACTGGAATTTCAACACAGGAGTGCACCTTTCCAGTCTTTCGGTCATGTCATGGGCTCCACTTCAACCATGTTGAGATATCCTGTGACAACTAATTTTGATACATTTATTGTACCTGACTCACAATTTCATAGGCTCAATAACAGCAATTGTAGCCACCATGGTTACATAGATCCTGGACACAATATCCCGAATCGGAATCACTTATCTGGCGTGAATGTCGGCAGGCCATTTCAGCCGTATATTTCAGGAGCTGAGACATATGGGGAATGGAGGTACAGGGTTTGCTCTAGTCTACAATAGGATGTTATTACTGAAGCTCTGTATGCTGACTCCTTCTCCTCGGGTTACTACAGGACAGGGCACAGATGATTTATGCACCTATTACATTCTCAACTGTTGGAATTAGTTTCAACTCGCAGCGTTTCATTCGGTACCTCCTTTTCCTTTTGATGATGATCTGTTCATGATAACTCTGCAAGTTGAAACTACAATTGCATCCTTGTGTGGATACAATAATTATGTATCACTATTTTACATGTCGGGATTGTTTCCCAAGCTTCAACCTATAATTGTTTTCATATAAACAACTGTTAGACTGTTATTTCATTGATGTATGTTTCATGTGTGCCCTGAATGTATGTACCTACTACCTATCTGCGCTCATTTTTAACTTGAACCAAAAGTACTGCCTTCGCCACCACACTCAAACTCCAAAACCTTTCCTTGTTAACGTTTTAAGAAAAAAAGAAGAAAGGGTTCTCTTTTGTTCTCCTTTTCTTTTCAGTTCCGAATTATATCTTGTCAGTACAGGCCTCTTGTATTCCATACACTTGACTCAGATATTCCTCAGTTTTATGTTTCCTTCATGTTGCAGGTTCCTTAAAATCAACATTCTAATGTTTGTAGAGTGAACCATGGCATGATAAAATCTGGGATTGCTGTGTGAGCGTAAGGAGTTGAAGTTTACGAGTGTTTCCTTATACGTTGATTTAGCTTCGCGGTTGAACAAAATTTTTCTTCATTATAATTGTGCGAGTTACTATTGGTAGATTGAAAGTAGTAGTCTTTACAATTGTAGTTGCTAAGTTGCTATTTTGCCTGTTGCTAGAGAAGCATCAATAAAGCATTGTATTACACTGCCAGATTTTCATCTTTCACTGAATATGAAATAGCAGGCGACGACAGTGAGACGAGAGGAGGGTTTTGACTGTGAAGGCATGCCCGGTGCAACCATGAGATGAGGTGCACGAAACTAAAGATCACTAGAGTGGCGGTATGTGGACTTTACAAGGTGGCGACTGTATCAGTTTTCTTTCTTTTCTATGGCAATTGGTGATGGGTGTAAGTTGAGAATCGTAGCTTTGGTATAATTAAGCCTCGCATTCCTGGTGGCTCCAATATAAATGCCTGATGCTTTCCAAAGGTAGTTAGGTCTCTTTCAACAACACCCCCCCCCCCCCCACCCCCCACCCCCCAACCACTCTCCCAAAGAGAACTTCATAAGGGGAGCTGCCGTATGTGGCAACCTCACATAGGGGCGGGACCTTTGAATGTTGACCGTGGGTATGGAATCCACATGCAGGTCTCGCCCCTTGTGAGAGTTGCGTCAGGGAATAAATTGTTTTGTAACCAATGCAACATCTTATTGGCATACTTGTTCAATAGATATTTGTTTTTTGTTCAAAAAGTGAAATTTTTGTCCAAATAATGTTTGTCATGTGATGAATTAATGACAATAAAGAATGGTTAAATTATATTTTACCCTTTCAGGTTTGGGGTCAATTGCAATCTCATACAACATTTTTAAAACATTTCAATTTTATACATTTATTTATCATTTTATTTCAATTTTATACATCCGTTAAAAAATTTGTTAAGTAAACCGTTAAGTGATGATATGACAAATATGAGATCCATATTTGTCCTGACGTGTTTGTTAAATTTGTGCCATGTGGAAAAAAAAAATATTTGCATTTAAAAAATAATAATTTAATCAGAATATTAAATACTAAAATAATAATTAATTAAAGAAAAGTTAAAAAAAAAAAAAAAAAAAAACCTAAAACCCATGTCTTCCCCAGCCCACTCCTCCCTCTTCACCTCCCCAACCCACCTCTCTCTCCTCCACTTTCTTCACCTCCCCTCCTTTCTTTTTCCCCAGAGACGCACTCATCCCTCTTCACCTCCCCAACCAACCTTCTCCTTCTCCTCCACTCTTTTCACCTCCCCTCCCATTACTCTCCCCAGATCAACCTGCACCCAACCCTAATCCCCAAAATTTTATTAGCCCCAATTTTGGGTATTGGATCGAGTTGTCGCGGAGGGACTCGATTTCAGGCGGCCAAAGTTTGGAATCGAAGGTCGGACATGAAATTTGATGGGGGTATTGAGCCAGGTGTCGAGGATCTCAATGATGGAGTCGGCGAGGACGTTGGAGTTGTTGATAGAGCAGGAGTTTTGGACGTCGGAAGGGGTGAGACAAGTGGCGGCGTACGAGCAGGTTACTGGAGGGAGAGATGTTGCAGCTGGAGGAGAGGAGGAGGTGATGGGCTTTGTCTTGCCTTCACCTTCGTCCCAGAAATGGGCTTTTTTAGGGTATATATATATATATATAACTTTTCTTTAATTAATTATTTTAGTATTTAATATTCTGATTAAATTATTATTTTTTAAATGCAAAGAAACTTTTTTTTGCCACGTGGCACAAATTTGGCAGCCACGACAACACAAATGTGGATCCCATATTTGTTTCGTCATCACTTTACAGATTTTCTAACGAATGTACGAAATTGAAATAAAATGATAAGGAAATGTATAAAATTGAAATGTTTTAATGTTTCTAACTTTAATTGCTCGTGGGTCCCCCTAAATGACGGCTATTCTAAGAATTATATGTTTTTGTTGATCTTACTATCTTCTAATAATATGAGTAACAACCCATGGATGAATTATGATAGTTAATGTATTGCATACTTCACATGCATCAGTAGTTACGAATCATGAATGTAAATGTATTGCAGGCGCTGAGTGCATTAGTAATTAGAATCAAATTGCTCGTAACATAATTCATGTTCACTTGTATACGGGAGAGGTGGGGTGGTTCAACATATAACATCCCATATCGACTAACCGAGAGGGGGTGATATGCCTTATATGTACATGCCCACCTTCTATAGCACGAGGCTTTTTGGGAACTCACTGGCTTCGAATTCCATCGGAACTTCAAAGTTAAGCGAGTTCAGGCAAGAGCAATCTTAGGATGGGTGACCTACTGGGAAGTTCTCGTCTAAGTTCCCAGAAACAAAATCATAAGACATGGCCAGGGCCCAAAGCAGACAATATTGTACTATAGTGGAGTCGAGACTGTGATGTGATAGAATGATATCAAAGCCACTCTACCATGTGGTGCGAATGTGCCGACGAGGATGTTGGACCCCTAAAAGGGGTGTATTGTAACATCCCACATCGACCAACCTGGAAGGAGTGATATGCCTTATATGTACATGCCCACATCCTATAACACGAGGCCTTTTGAGAGCTCACTAGTTTCGGGTTCCATCGGAACTTCGAAGTTAAGCGAGTTCGCATGAGAGCAATCCCATGATGGGTGACCCACTGGGAAGTTCTCGTGTGAATTCACAGAAACAAAACCGTGAGGGCGTGGTTTGAGACCTAAGCGGACAATATCGTGCTACGGTGAAGTCGAGCCCAAGTTGTGATGGAGCTCGAGACTGGGATGTGACACAACGTGTATGGCCAAATATGACAAAGTATGTTATAGGAGCTTTATGTGCATCAATAGTCAGAAATCAGTATCATTTGCACTTTTTTTCTTTCTCTTTTCTTGACGAGAAAGACTGATATGAAACGTGTTTATCATCATTGTAACATTTTTTTCGGATTAACCAATGACATGTGTAAGTTTCTCAACACATATTATCGATTAGTCGACTAGAGTTTAAGATCCGATCTCTCATACAATGTCGTCGCCACCCGTTACAACTAACATCTCCAATGCAATGTCGCCACCACCACCCACTGCAACTGACTCACATTGTACCTTTTTTTTTTTTGGGCAAAGTGCTACTTTTATTACTAACCAAAAGCAAACAAAAATACAACTAAAGGCCCAAAGCTAACACATGGACAAGTAAAAAGTGGGCCAAGACAAAATAAAGTACAATAGGGCCAACCAACTGCTGCAGCCCAAACACAAACGGATTTACAAACTCTAGAAGCATTCACTACAATCGTTGCCGCTACAACAACCTCGATCCGTCCAATTCCTCATCCACAACCGAGTATCTCCTCTTCAAATGCAGCATCCAACCCTGATCTGCTTCACGAGCACAGCCATAAAAATGGATAGCCAACAACAGCACAACGAAAGCCAGCTATTAGGATGAAGTCCGTGGAAGCCCACGAACAACATTGTTGGTAAAGGTAATTAATCAGGAAAAGGTGGTGGTATTGGAAACACCCGAGCCAGTGAAAATGCCGGAGCTTTACACACGATCTCCACGATATTCATGGTTGAAAACCGGAATAATGATGAACTAAGAAGAGGGACACCAACTGGGCAAGAGGGATATAATAGATCTGGGTTAAAAGTAGGGGGGTAGAGTAGTAGAAACAAAGAGCAGATGAGATAAATAGAGAAAATAGGAAACAGCGACCGACCCCAGTCGCTGCTAGGGTCGGCGCCACCAGATTTTCTTGATTTTTGAAGACTCTCACCAGAAGGTGAGAAAGACTCTCAGTAGGAGAGAAAAAATCTCACTCAAAGAGATTGTGTTCAGTTGACAAGAGCGGCGGTTAGGCCAAATTTGGTTACTCCTCCACTTCCAATATTCATTTGGCATTTTAGCCAAAATAGTTTATGAGATTGACCTAACTTCTATCTTTGGTTCCTGAGATTTAAAATCGATAGATGAAGTCCTCAAGTTTGTCCACCATCAATCATTTTTGTCATTTCATGAAAAATCTATGTTAAGCATAACGAAAACAACAAAAGTACCCTCAAATTAATAAACAATGAGCTAAAATGATTTGACAAAATTTTAAGGTATTTTTATCATTTTGGTCTTATTTAAAGGAGATTTTTCACGGAATGACAAAAATTATGGATAATAGACAAAATCAGAAACCATTTCTATTGATTTCAAATCTTAAGAACCAAAATGAAAAGTTATATAATTTCATGTACCATTTTAGCTAAAAAATATATTTTTGGCTAAATAGCCAAAATGATCCTTGAGATTTGCATAACTTATCCATCACTTTGGTCCCTAATATTTCAAATCAATCAAAGTGGTCCCTGAGATTGTCCATCATCCATCATTTTGGTCTTTCCATTAAAAACTCCGTTAAGTGTCCCATATCTCTTGGCCTGAAGTTTGGGCAATTTTCAAAGCTTCGTAACTCAATTGTTTCTTAACCAAATTCGACTCATAATATATAAAAATGAAGATAGAAAAGTGTAAAATAAGATTACACTTATTTGGAAGCCCAATGGTTGCCGGAGATAGCCGGAAAATAGCCTCAAAGTTGACTGGTTCGAGGGAAAACTGAAAAACTTTGGGACCCTGAGTAAACTTTAAACGTTCATAACTTCTTCAATACTAAACGAAATCAAGTGATTCAAAAACTAAAATGATACTTCTCAACGAGACGAAGATAACTGTATCTTTTTTATGGCTAAATCGCCGTGGTTTGGCCGAAAAACGGCTCGAAAGTGGTCATGGACAGTCACTTTCGAGCCAAAAGTTCGGGGACACTTAACGGAGTTTTTAACGGAATGACCAAAATGATGGATGGTAGACAATTTCAGCGACCACTTTGATTGATTTGAAATGTTAGGGACCAAAGTGTTAAATTATGCAAATCTTAATGACCATTTTGGCTATTTACCCTTTATTTATTTACCTCTTAGGCTCTTGTATTTAACATCTTTTATTTTCAATAATGTATTTCACCCCATCAAATCCGGTGGTACGGTTCAAAATATATAGATTCAGATACTTATTAATTTTTTTTTTGTCAAGTAGTATTTCAGAAACTTTAGGGAAAAGGAAATCCATGAATATGTGTGTCCTTAGTTGGGACACGAAGTCGTAATATTGTCCATGGAACCAGTGTCCCTAGCCTAGTACGCCACTCCCCCAACCTTTTCCAATTCCGAGCCTTTCCAACTGGATCCTTCATATCCTTGCCGCACATACAAAATGCAAAATTCTGCATCAAGCCGACAACAGATTCACTTTCAATCTTTCAATCTTTCAATCGTAAACATCATTTCATTTGTACCAAAAATAAAACCGTCCTTTCAATTATAGAATGACAATCACACATATCTACTCTCTTCAATTACATTAAAGATGATGTTATTCACATGCTCGTTTTTATCTGTCATACATTTTGGTTAACTTTTGATCATTGATTTTTTTTAATTCATTATATTCGACGACTGAAAATTAAAATGAGTGTGTGAGAAGTAAAAATAGATGTGTGAATAGCACTACCCAGACATTTTCTTTTTTAAAGAAACGATTGTGGATTCGGATCAAAGTTGTTACAATGGATCAAAGTACGAAGAGCCAACTAAGGCGATAAGGTATCCTCAAAAGGTAAATCTATGATTACACAATGGCCAAGAGAATGACCGAGACGGGCAAGGCAGTGAGCTACACCGTT